ATAAAGGGGTAATCATTAAAAAGTGTCCGCCTCTTAGAAAAAAAAATCGTGGGAAAAAACGCAAAATTTGCCTAAGGCACAAAGACTCGACTCTTCACTGTTCTCCATTCTTTTTCAGTCTCGACTCATCTCCCTCTGTTAATCTGTTCTCCAATCTTCATCTCTTTCCATTCTTCATCTCTCTCTGTAAATCTCTCTCTGTTCTCGACTCTCCATCTCTCTGTTACTCGACCCTCCATCTCCATCTCTCTGTTACTCGACTCTCCATCTCCTTTTCTCAGTTAATCGAGTCTCCATCTCTCTTCTCACTCGACTCTCCATCTCTCAGTCCCAGATCTGGTCGTACATTGTAAAGGTTAGGGTTTTGAAATTGATTTGGGGTTTTGTTTGTGAAATTAACATATTTGAGGTTCAATTTGGGGTTGTAATCGTTTTAGGGTTTTGTTTTAAGGTACTTTGGAGTTGCAGAAGCTTTCGATAGCCGTTTCTAGAAGCTTTAGGTGAATCAACATGTATGTAATTGAAGGTATTGAGATGTTTTGCATGTTGTTTTGATTTGTTTTAGTGTGTGTTGGTTTCAAACTTGCATGTGTGTTGGTTTCAAACTTGCATGTGTGTTGGTTTCGAGTTAAGCTACTGTTTTGATTTGAGTTAGTGTTTCTCTTTGTCAGTTTCAAACTTCCATGTGTGTTGGTTTCGAATTAAGCAACTGTTTTGATTTGATTTAGTGTTTCTTTGTTAGTTTCATACTGTTTTATTAAAACCAAACTTGTTTCTATTTTTGTTAGTCATGTTTCTCTTTGATAGTCATGTAAATTGAGCTACTGTTTTGATAAAATCAAACTTGTTTCGATACCAAACTTGTTTAAACCAAATTTAACTAAAACTAAACTCGTATGACACTATATTATAAGAAACAAAGTATTCTGCTACTTTGTTATGTATGTGTTTGGGTGAAGAACAAGAATACCACTGCCTTCAAGGTTTTGTATGCTTGCTTTTAAATACTGTTACTTATGAAAATGCTTTTGACTAATTCAAATATACTTCTGTAGGAAATAAGTGAGAAGTACAGAAAGTTGAGGCAAGCCCAGATTCCACACACCACCAGTCGCAAAGGAATGATCCGCCTAGCTCATGAGATGGTATATGTCATCTCTCTGTTTAATAAGTTTTGTAATGATGAAAGTTTTCACTAATGCCTACTATCTTACTTGATAGAAAAAAAAAGAGTTCAAACCCAAAACTGGTGAACAAGAAGCAAGGTTTGGGTAGCAGGTCATACACACTCAGATGGGAGAGCAGTCAGGCCTGAATTTGCAGAGACTATTGTGAGATACTGTTTTAACTAATTTTTCTTTTTCTATTGTGAGATTTTGCTTTATATTGTTGACATTGTGGTATTATTAGGAAAAAATTAAATCGATTGACAGTGAAATGGGCTCTCAACAACAATAAATCTCAAAGAAGATGATGTTAGTCAAGTTTTGGGAAAAAACAAGCCTGGAAGACTTAGAGGAATGGGCAGAGGGGTTGCTGCAACTAAGTTAGCATTCATGTTAGCTAAAGACTCTCATGTGGAGAAGCTAGAAGCTTCACAAGCTGATTTACGGATAAAGCTTGAGGAATTGCATAATGTACTGACTGGCTTAACTGGGAAAAAGGTAAGTTAAAACTAAACACTTGTGTTCTGTGAAGCAAAATTAAATGTTATTGAACAATGTCCATTGATTCTTGGCAGGACCAGTGTGAAGAGGTATCTAAATCAGAGGCTAGTGATCATAGTAAAGGTGTTAGATGCCAGCTTCTTGATTGGTGTTCAGAGGATGATGTTGTTGTAGGAGAAGGGGAATTCTGCTCAGCTGAACAATGGTACAAGATTGGTCGTATTCCACTTGGTCGTCATGCTGCGGTTGTTATTGTGAAGTCAGTGTCTGATGAAACAGCCTCTCTATGGAGACCTACACCATTTGTATTCTTACTTGGTGAAGCTTTGGGGACCAAGATTGCCTGGCCTTTTGATAAGATCATTCTAGACAATGATGCAGACTCCCCTATTGAGAATAAGATTGTAGGATCCTCAGTAAGGTTTTCTTTCCTTTACTTGTCAAATATCAGTATAATATATAAGCTTAATCAATTATTATTTATGACGAAAAAAAATAAAAATCAATTATTATTTATGAATCATTAGGCTACAGATGGATCTCACGCGAAAATCCTCATAATTGATTGGAATTTGGCTGACTCTGTGGTTGCTGAGGGACGATTGTGTTCAACTGACAAGGACGAAATGGTCAACAATATGCCTCTTGGTCATTTTGCTGGAACTATTAATGTTGAGAAAGTGTTTAACAAGAACGCATATCTGTGGAGACCAAGTCCGAGAAAGTTTTTGATGAAGGATGTACTACATGAGAACATCGCATGGCCTCTTCAGAGTATACAATTTGTGAATTCCTCACCAAGGGATGAATTAGCAGCAGCAGATAAAAGACCATCTCCTCCACTGGTAAATTTTTTGAACTTTTTTACTTTAAGTGAATTGATGAATGATGGATTTAAGTAATTTTTGATTTTTGCTTATTGTAGAGCTTAAGTAACAGCACTGGTAGCACAAGCAAATCAGTCAAGAAGAAATGCATCTTGTTAGATTGCAAAAAACTCCATAGAAAAAGTAGCAGAAGGAAGAGTATGTCCATCTAATCCATCTGACACAGTCCATCATATGCCTCTTGGTGCCAATGCGAGCAAGGTTTGGGTAGAAGTGTCAAAGGTTGGAGATGCAGCTGTGTGGAGAACAAACTCTGAAATTCAAACCATTGCCGATGCAATAGGTAGTATTGTGGCTTGGCCTAATGATAAAATCATGTTTGTCTAAATTGTTTGAGTACTTACATTGTTATTTTTGGTGAATTCAGTACTTGCTAAGGCATGATCATGTAATTTGAGTACTTACATTGACATGTTTATCTAAAATAAATTTCATTTTGTCTTTTTAAATCTGTGTTATATAATATTCAATTATTAATAATTCGATCGAAACAAAATTAGAACTGGAATAGGATGGTCAAATATTGCATAAACAAAAATGCCATTAATTGAAACAATTGCAGTATATTAACTGCTATTGTCATTTTATATGTAGCAACATAAATATGCTGTCAATAACAATATTTAATATCGAATATTCAACGCTATTATATTATTAATAATTGCATGAAATAAAGCGCTGTAATAATGAACTTTATGGTAGCATAACAAAAAACCGCTATAATTTGTCTCCGACCTATTATGACGGGCGATGATAGAGCGCTTGTTAAAACACTACAGTATAGTTATATAGCGTTATTCAGGGGCTATAGATACTTCATTTTCCTGTAGTGAGGGCTATAGGATATAGTTGTAGAATTTGGTTTGGAATTTGGAATGTTGAAAATGCTTGCGGAGAATTACATGGTGGTTATCATTTGATGCGATCTGCTAGGCATTTGGATTTGGTTTGAATAATCAAGGTAATAGGCTAGAGAAATTGGGAGTTTCTGTGTTTTCAAACTTCTTCCACGGGTTCGGTTTTTGTGTTTTGCTTGAGGGCAAGCAAAAGCTAAGTCTGGGAGAGTTGATATATCACGGATTTTACCGGTTTTAACCATGATTTATGTGTCAGTTTTAGAGTCTTTTTGTTGTATTTAGTGTCTTTTCGAGTCTTTTCAGTTTTTTACACGTTCGGAACAAATTTGGAGAAAAGGAACCATTCTGGAGCTAAACTGAAGATTTAGAGCTGAAGGAACGATTTCGGTATCAGATCAAAGCATGAGTGTCGACCGACACCCTTTGGTGTCGCTCAAGGCCCAGCAAAAGTCTCGGCGGTTTAAGAGTTTTTAAGCCCGAAGAATCAACCCAGAAGACTTCTCTATTTACAACTTTAGTCCCTGCTCGTGTTATTAGCTATAAATAGGTTTTTAAAGTCATTGTTTAGACCTAAGCTTTATTTTTACTCTGTTCTTAGGAGCTTGAACCCTTTGGGAGATAATTGGAGAGAGCTCCTCCAGAGAAGATCCTTCTTAACTCTATTCTCTTCTTTGTTTTTTTAATGCAATTTTATTTAATCATGTTGTTTGTTCCATTCTTTATGTTTGAGTAGTTTGCTTGTTAGGTTTAGGGATTCTCATTAGGGATTTAGATGAATTAGTAGATCGATAAATTGTTAGGATAATATCTTTAGAGTTCTTCATCTTTGATTGTTCTTAATGTTAATTCTAGAGTAATTAACTAGAATTTGATCATAGGATAATAGGTAGATTCGAGAGGTCATCTATTACTGGAACTATCTTAGGTGGGCAAAAATTACTAGATACATTCGAGAGGTGGTCTAGGAATATTTGTGAACATATCAAACCTGGTATTAATGCTAGTCTAATTATAGGAGTTTACATTCGAGAGGTGAAACTTCCTGATATTAGGTTCGTTAATAATCCTAATTAATTATTTATTTCTTTCTTGAGAAATCCCTAAGCCTGACGTTTTCATCCATCTGCTTTACAACCGATTTTAATTGCTTTCTTGTCTTTTAATTTACCTAATTTCCTGTTTAGCTTAATTCAAAACCTATTAGTCTATTGTGTGAACTTGAAAGCTTTGTAGATTTCGACCCTAAAGTACTGTAATTGATCTCTTATTTGAGAAAGTAGTCTTAGGTCTTAGTTTGACTCACATCAGTAACCGACTCTTTGTGTGGAAAGGAGAAGCCACGCTTGAGCTTGTCCGTTCTTGTATAGCCGATTTAACATGTGGCTGAGAATGCTTCATACGTTTGTGCTTATCCGTTCGTCGTGTTTATCCGTTCATTGAGCTTATCCAATCATCGAGCTTATCCGTTCGTTGAGCTTATCCGATCGCCGAGCTTATCTGTTCGTTGTTCTTATCCTTATCCATCTGTGATGCTTATCCATTTCCCCAACCGACCTAGAGGTACTATAAATACCCCCCATACTTTGCCCTTAGAACATAAGTCCACACTAAAAATCCCCAAAGCTCTTAGAAACCGTAGATCGTCTAGAAAAGCTTCCAGAGACCTAAAACCACCCATCCGAGTTTCTGTGAGTTCCGGTCATGTGTAGTAGCACATGATTAGGATTTATTTATTTAATTAAGTGCTTAGTTAATTATTTAGTTAATTATGAGGTTTAGGAGTTATACTTAGTATAATTCATGATTTATTTGTGATGATTGTTGATGGATTATGAGTGTTTCTTGTTGTTATGTTATGTTGCTTGTTAGTTATTGTTAGTTAGTTAATTAGCATTAGCCAGATCATGTTATCCCACATGTATGTTGTGCGTCGTATGTAACTCTGTTGTGTTATGGCATACGAAGGCTCGGGGCTGATTCAATATCGACCGGACGCTACATGACGATGTAGTATCAAGGAATGACAGATCTTCTATAGACATTGTGTCTAGGAGTGTAGAGCATTACTTCGAGAGATCGTGAATTCCGTAGAAGGCCTTAATATTGTCATTATTCTAGATAGTCTTATTAGTCTTTCTTTTCATGTGGCTTCTAGCTAAGCCGTTCTTTGCTTGTCATTATTATTTGCTTGTGATTGGGGTTTGGGTTGGGAAATTATAACTGTTAGAGATCCCGGACTAAGATTACTCATGATTCTACCATATTTGTTTTGCAGGTGACCAGTAGAGGGTTATTGTAGAGGGAAGTTGGACGCTAGGGAAGCCTGTGAATGTTTTATGCCTTTTGTAAAATATGTTTGTAAGAATAAGGGTTCGTAAATTCTTTTTGGAGGCTAGCTCCCGACCGAAAAACCTTAAGCTATTTTCGTTGTATTTACTCGAATGATTTCATGTGAAATAAATAAAACTTGTTTTATATTCGAGTTGGCACTTATATGATTATGGTCTAGTCCGGACCGCCAAACATTCGTTCATGGGAAAGGTTGGCAAGCCGGACTCATGTTGGCAAGATCGGCAACTTTATTCTAAAAACCCTAGTTCTTTCATTGTTCTTGAGCAAAACATAACATGTTCTTAAAGCAACTCTTAATTTCTTTGTAATCGAGTCTTTAATCGATATTTTAATAAAGAGAGTCCTTTTAATTTGTTTTCCCCTTCAAAATATTCTTTGGAGAAACCCTAGTTTCTACACACTATAACAAACAAATATATCTTTTGATAAATAGGATGACGTCGAATGGCTTTCACTGCAACATGCCACAGATCTTTGATAGGCTGCAGTAGGATACTTGTAGCGTCCCGTCCCGGACGACTTGGCGTCCGGCGACCATTTACGCACGTTCATGCCTCCTCCCGGCCGAACCTCCATATTTTTCGCGATTTAACATAGAATTGCCTTTACGAGGCTTAATTCTATAATCGCTTTCTTATTACCCAGCGGAAGTCTTTCTATCCTTGGTTTAATTCCAACCAACCCTTGTACCGATTTTATCGTCTTTGTCCTTAAGACTTAGATCGAACCTTTATTCGGTTAAGACATGCAATTTGTTCGCTAACCATTCTAAGTCTAACGATTGCATATTCCGTTATCCTAATTTCAACGGCCAATTCCTAAACGTCTAGCTTAACGAATAAGTTAGATTCGTTTACATACCTTGGCCAACATGTGGATTCGATTCCTCTTCGATCCGTCCATTGATCCTTCCCTTAGCCTTCTTGTTTCCATATTCCATTCGTACAACGATTCTTAACCAATCGTGTATTGATGGACCAATTTCTATCGTTACTTAGTCATACATCCAACCAACCCCACTGGTCTAAGTCCCTACGATAGAGATTGGGGATCGTACGTTTCCCTAGGTTCACGGTGGCCGAATCAAGCTCTCGGCTCATTGGTCCATCCGTCCTCCAAACATACGCCCCTTCGGTTTCATGGTGGAAGATCAAGCCCTCAGCTTATCAAACCATCCATGTTTCCGATCCGGTCGTTTATCACTACGACCGCCTACGGTTTATTAACCGTTTACCCGTTCGGTCTATGGTGGTCGGTAAAGCCTTCGGCTTATCGATCCATCCATGCGATCCGAACAATATCATTATCTCATCCAAGGGTTCGTGGATTCATCCATCGGATTATCGTAGGCTAGCCCATGAAATCATTCGTCCGTCGGCCTTTGGTTTTCTCGCGGGTCCAACATCCGTTTGTCCACCAGTTCTCACCATGGACTTTCCCGTTGGTTATCCGTCGAGTCACCATTGGTCTTACCGATTCCTAATCGGTTTCACCATTGGCCATGGCGATTGATACATAAAGGCAGCCGCGATATTAGATCCTTGCATGGTGAACCACGTCACTTACCCATTCTCGGTGCTTACTCCCTTTACCGGTGAGATTACATCCATGGGCGACCCTTGGGTGTGTTCGGTTGCACTTATCCTCGTGCTTCCTCGAACACCTTTCCCTTATACGCCTTCCCGATTAACTTCCCGTTAACCATATCATTCTATCGGTCTATCTTTGGATTCGTCAATACTTCCATATTGACAATCTAAGATTTGTCGATCCATTTCCTTTTCGTGTCCTTCTTTCGACGATATGATTTATAGAACGAACGATCCATCGATCCCATAATCGAGCTATCGATCCGAACCATCAATCAAGTCATCGAACTCTCTGTCCATCCCACTCCTTGATCGAATTGTCATTCCATCGATCGATACCACGATCCGATCATTCGGTCGACCCGACCATCTTACCCGATCCGTCCCGTCTCTCCGACGAACGATCCCTCCGTTCTGATCCGTCTCTCCGACGATCGGTCCATCCGTTCCGATCCGTCTCTCCGACGATCGGTCCGATCAATCCATCCAAACATTCCATCGAACTGTTGGATCGGGAGGTAGCATGCGCATCAGTTCGGTCGAGGCTCCGGGAATCCGTTCCGATTCCGAAGATACTCGCCGAGCCGCACCCCCTTTCTGACCAACAACTTCGTGGCGTGTTTAGGACTATTTTCGGATTGGGTTTTTGATTGGGAAGTGTGTGTGGATGATTCTGAAGTCCTATGGACGTCCACCCCTTATATAGGGCCGAATGGGTGCCTTCCCGAAGAAGCACATCCGTTCCTTTCACCCTTCCGAAGGGTTGCATCTTTCCGATCGTAATCGCTCGGCCTTATCCACCCTTTGGCCAACGGTAACCGTTCGTCGGTAACCGCTCGACCTTACACCTCTTCATCCCCGAGCTACCACAGTCCACCAGCTCGAGTGTTAGCTGACCGGACCACCTAGCTGGGTCAGTACTCGATCAGTTCACCGAGCTCGGTTGAGCTGTCGGTCAGCTCACCTAGCTGAGCTAGCTAGTCCTCCAGCTGGTTTAGCTCACCTAGCTGAGCTAGCTAGTTTGTCCAGCTTGTCCAGCTCACCTAGCTGGATTAACTCGGACTCTTTTGTCCGTTCTTTCCGGCTAAGTCTTTCGGTCCGTTTCTCGGCCTTGACTTCGCCATTCCTAATCTTTCCATGATCATTTCTCCATGATCACTAGATTATTCCGAAACCGTCTTAAGTCATCTATCCCTTTCATGACTTAAACGTTTCATTCCTTCCTTGGGTTAACTTATTCATTGGTCTTTCTCGACCATGATCTAGTTTTTCCTAAAACAAACCGGCCCCCTTTAGGATCGCGGGACGCGGACGTTACAATACTTCTAGTAATCTGCAATAATTTGTAATTTCTGAAAATCGAAACTCAAATTCGGTATAAAAACTTTAATTAACACTTGGTCATAATGGACTTACAAAAATATATAGTATTTGTATTTTTCGTCAACGCTCGTGGTGTTCCATTATATGCAAATTGTGAATGCAATTTACAATCTTACACCGAACCGGACCAAGACACATTAATATGAGGCATTGCAATGGGGCCCCCATTTTCTAGAGGCCCCACATAAATTTTATTTTATATATATATATATATATACTAGTTAGAAATCTCGACTATACTAGTTTAATGAATGAGTTTGCAAGAAAAAAAGCAAAGAGAGTTATTTTTGAAAAGAAGATTTAGGGTCTAAATGGTAACCGAAGAATCTAGCTGAATCTGGCTGAATTGCTGAATCTGGCTGAATTTTTAGTGATTTTTAGCTGAATCTAGCTGAATTTTTACATTTTCAAATGGTAACCGCTGAATCTAGCTGAATGTTTTTGTGATTTTTGGTAGAATCTATCAACATAATAAAGACTTTAACTGAAAAATATCGTCAAATAATTATGAATATTAATAAAATAATTAAGAAAATATCAAAATAAAATAGATAAAATTATCTAATGATCTAATTAACTGTTATACTAATTAATAAATACTAAATTATCTAAAATAAATACTAATATAAATAATATATTGGTTAGTAAAATTGAGTTATTCTTCCATATTTAATTTTTAAACTATGAAATATGTAGATAATTATTGAAAAGCTTTGTAAAGTAATATTGATAATTTATTTTAAGAAATTAACATGGTAATATAATATAGATTATCTAATTGTATATTTTATGTTTTTTTTTGCGAAATTTTACATTATCTAAAAATTATTAAAATTATCCAAAAATGTCTATAGTTATTCGAATATGAATTCGTTTCTTGTATATTGTGGTAGTGATATATTATGTATCTGAATTATTTATATATCGTATGTGTATAATCTGACTTATTTTAAAAATATAAATTTGATGTGTAATTTTTGATATCCAAAATATTTTAATTCGACTTATGTGCTCGTTATTATCCAAATTTTTACTAGATATAAACGTATCTACGTATCTGTTGGTGCTGAAAAAACTATTGAATTTGGCTGAATTTAGTTTTATGTAAATAGTGACTACGAAATTGCTGAATCTATCTGAATCCGGCTGAATATTTTTGTTATGTTACCATTTAAGGCCTTAAGCTGTTTTTTCCTTTTTTCAAAATATTATTGTACTTTGTTTGGAAAACAATAGTTTTGTTTGAATTGGTTTACTTTAGATCCTTTGGTAGGACTCTGTTTTTAAGACAAGAATACTTTGTTTTATTAATTTAAATGGGCCCAAATTTTATTGGTCCGACTCTGATATCACAGAACAAGATTCGGAGAGAAGACTTCATATCTTTTAGTGATAAGACCTATTTAATTAATATTTAAAATAAACTTAATTGTTTTTAAAACGGCTATATACTATTTTGGACTTCAGAAGTAATAGTCATTAATACATTTGTAAAAGTGCCAAAACTTGTATATTGTAGATCACCGTAGCCTCTCTCTCTTCATCAGCTCTCTTTCTCTCCACCAACATCAGAGATTCAGAGAATCAGAGGTCACCTCTTTCTCCCTTCCTCTCTCTCTTTCTCTCTCTCTCTCACCCATAAATTACTGATAGCTTTATGTAAATTATTCTAATCGTAATATGAGCATAGATATATAATAGTTGAAAATGCATGCTTTACACCCAAGAAACTTGGATCTTCGTCTACTTTGTTTATGGAAATGGTCTTATTCGTTCAATTTAAAACTTGTTTGGTCCTTAATATGAATGATATATGTAACAGAAAGAGAATGAGAAAGAGTATAGAAAGATCTAGAAGATCTTGAATGTATCATAAGATATCGTAAATATTTGCTATTATTATTATAAAGATTTTTATCTATTTATTTAATGAAATTATATGTATATAATATTATGAAAATCCATAAACAATTCTTCCAATTCATAAATTCTCATCACTAGAGAACAGAGAGAATTCGGAAATTTCAATGACGATAAATAATACACCACTTTATTGTCCCAATACACTTGTTCACGTTTTCAAAACCGCTATCTTTTACTAGTCTTCGGAGAGTTAGGGACCCACCTCTGTTGTACGTCAACGGTGGCTGTCTTTTGTACATGCGGTCTGTCCTTATTAAGCACCGCAAAATCAATCAAGATTGTATGTATATATGAGCCAATACAATATTTTTCTAAGACCATCAGCAGTAGCAAATGTGTTTGTGTGGGTGTAAGTATTTTTTTAGTATTATAATTTAAAGCAAAAGAGAAAAGAGAAAGAGAAAGAAAGAGAGAGATAGAGAGAAAAAGTGTTACACCCGAATGTAAACTTACACCTGGATGTGAAGAGAGAGACAAATTTTTCGTTTTTTTAATACCTACACCCCAAGACTCACACCCATCTGCTTGTGCCACTGCTGATGCTCTAACCCTAAACGCTCATCACTTTTCCCTTTCTTTACGTAACTTCATTACTGCTTTTAGAAACTATATTGGCTGTATGTTAGAAATCCAAGAGATAAGATCATCATTATTTTTTTATTTTTTGTTTGAATCCATTTGTTCTGCAAAAATAATGAGCACTCTTTAGACCATCTCCAATAATCAATAATGATATATTCTTTGAGTTTTTAAACAAAAAAATATATTAATATTTTAATAAATTTCAGTTATATAATTATTTTTGAGAAATTGTCTCTAATAGCCTCAAATCAAGTTTTTGGGACAAGAATAGCACTCAAAAGTTTATTGGACAAAAATAGCTCTTTATTTTTTATTTTTTAAATTAATAAATAATTATAAATAAATACAAAAAATCACAAATTCATCGTTAATATTTTCCCACCAAAACAAAATCCCGTCAAAATTTTCTCGCCAAAAAAATTTCGTCAAAATTTTCCGCCAAAATATTTTCCGTTCCCAGAAAAAAAAATATCGTCAAAAAAAATCCAAGAAATTCAGGAAGGATAACACGAAATTTAGGAAAGATTTCACGTAATTTAGGAAGGATTTCACGAATCGGGAAACCCTTCCTGTATTACGTGGAAACGTTCCTAAAATTCATGAATTCATGAAAGCCTTTCTGAATTACGTGGAATCCTTCCTGAATTTCGTTGAATCATTCTTGAATTTCGTGTAATCCTTTTAGGAATCCTTTCATGAAAGTCAAGGAATCCTTCCTGAATTTCGTGAAATTCTTCCTGAATTTTGTGGATTTTTTTGTGGGAAAATTTAGACGGAATTTTTTTGCGGGAAAATGTTGAAAAAAATTTAGCGGGAAAATATATTTACGTTGCGGAAATTTTTTGGCGGGAAATTTTTCAATTTTATTTATTTATTTATTTTAATTCAACTAATTATTCATATTTAATATTTATTTAAAGTTTATAGTGCTATTTGTTGAACTTTTCAAATGTAGTCCTATTTTTGAAAGAAAAACTTATTTTAGTGCTATTTTTGTCAATCTCCCATTATTTTTTACTTACAAACATAAAATTGAACCAATAGATTTGAAACATGTGGTTTAGTGGTTTTCTCAAAGTTTTTCATTTGAGAAACTCTATCCCTTCTCTTTCTTACTTTTCAGATTTTTTTTTTATTTTTATAATAGACAGTTTCTCATTGAGAAACCATTGATGGAGATGCTCTTACGCTTTTCCAAATTGTAACTAACTTCGAATAAAATGCATCAACATCCATAGATCCTAAATTTATGTAGTGTTGCTTAAGATTTGATATAGACGTAGAACATCATTCTGCTGAAATGTCTTCAACAATATTTTCCAAACTACATTTTCAGTCTTAAAAATTTCTATACAAAACACTTTGACCAAGTTCAGTCTTAGAAACAGAAATCATAAGTTAAGAATCTATCACATCATTATAACGGTGCCAAGTTCGCATCATAATGATGATCTGGTTGGTTAATGTATAGTTTTGTATATATTGACGAAGAAAATTGAGTCGCCATCCACAAAATTGATGAGATTGACGAATGGACAGAAACTCGAAGAAATGAAACTGAACTGAGATCACGCTGAAATCAAGCTCAGAAACAAAGAAAAAGTTAGGAAAAAAAAAAGATATATAATTTTCATTTTGATCTCAGACCAAATGGGATTTGTAACAAGAAGATAATGAGAGAGGGGTCGAGAAGAAGAGATAATTTCAAAATCTTTTTAATGACTTAACCAAATGTTATTGTACACGCTTAATACTTTAAGCTTAAAACTTCTAAACTACCTATTAATAACGCGGGTTGGCTGATTTTTCAGTCCTTAACTATTTGCAAACTCAATGATTCCCCCTATATTTTTTTGCTCTTAAAAAACTATCAACAACTAACATTTTTTCTCAATAAACCATCACATACTTTCGAATTCATCTTGAAAAATACGCCTCCAATTGAACCGGTCATTAAACCGGGTTTAACCACAAATCCGCGTTTATTGTACCGCGATTAGGATTACCCGTATGATTATCCATGACCCGAGAGTGAAAACGGCGTCGTTTTCACTCTTCTCTCAATTTCTCAAACTCGCAAATCGTCATTGTTCACCCATTTCAAAATTAGGGTTCTTCAGAGAAAAGGTGAAAGGGGATCCTCCATCTTCTTAAAGTTCACCCTCTATCTTCTTACTCATCGCATCCTCCATCTTCTTAAATTTTTTGTTTTGGAGCTTCATAGTACCCATCACTTCCATCCTAAAAGCATTGACATCCTCTGCAACTAACTTACACTTCTCCTCGACCATCCTAATTTCTTCTAAGAGAGCTTCATCAACCCATTTGAACAAGTGATCCTCATTTTTTCTCTATACACATAACCTCCGATCAATAATACTCCATCGTCTTTTCAAATCAACAATTTAACCAAATAGAAAAACGTACCTTCATTGCAATCGCGCATCGGTAGAATCTCCGGTATGGATTCTCCTTCGTTTTTGATGTGAATGTGATGATATCCTCTCCACACCAGGAGGAGAAAACCGATGCGCCGGAATTTAAGCGGATGAGTAGTAGCTCGTTGTGCTCATCGTCTCTGCAATTTCAGAAATTTAGTACCAAATATTGATGAAGATGAACCCTAAACCCCAAATCGATTTTATGTACAAGATCGACGTCGTTTTGGTTTCGTTTTGAGACATAGAGAGACAAGTGAAAACGACGTCGTTTTCACTCTCGGATCATGGATAATCATACAGGTAATCCTAATCGTGGTACAGTAAACGCGGATTTGTGGTTAAACCCGGTTTAATGGCCGGTTCAATTGGAGGCGTATTTTTCAAGATGAATCCAAAAGTATGTGATGGTTTATTGAGAAAAATGTTAGTTGTTGGTGGTTTTTTAAGAGCAAAAAAGTATAGGGGGAATCCTTGTGTTTGTAAATAGTTAAGGGCTGAAAAATCAGCCAACCCCTAATCATGCATGCACACAACAAATAAATGGTTATGTTGTTACAGCTTGAAAGGGCATTCTTTTAAAAAAAAAAAATCAAACCTAAATTAACGAAAATAGAAGTGTGTATTCATGCAAATTATTGACTACCCATCCATAGCTCAAGATTCAAATCTGTTCAAGATGACCCAACGGTTGGAAGCGCAAGGGACTAACGATCGCAATTATGAGTGGGATGATGGATCGGACCATGATGATGTAACAAAGATATCTGTGAGAGGTGACATTAATGGCATACAATACATCCGATTCGACTATATCAAGAGTGGACAAATAAAATATGGATCATTTCATGGTTGGACGAGTCCAGGTCTCTCACAAACGGTATGACACTTTGAATAGTAACTAAACTCCCTTTATTTCTTGTTAGTGTGGATAAAATGACTTTGTGATCTGATTTTTGTTTCAACCTTGCAAGTTTTGCAGTTTGAGATTAACAAACTAAAAGACGAACAACTTGAATCCGTTGAGGGTTACTACGAACCCAACTCGGGTGTGATTCAAGGAATTCAATTCAAAACCAACTTAAGGATTTCTGAACTAATAGGATACGAAGAAAATGGTACTAAGTTTTCACTAGCTGTGGATGGAAAGAAGATCATTGGGTTTCATGGATCAAGTTCATCAAAGCTCAAATCTCTTGGAGCATATTTCACTAGGATTTCTCCAACTAGATTGGAAGTGAAAGGGATAAAAGGAGGCAAGGAGTGGAACGATGGATCCGATCATGAAGGTGTTACAAAAATCCATGTACGAGGTGGTCCTGAAGGTATACAATACGTCAAGTTTGATTATATTACGGATGGCAAACATATATATGGGCAAGCTCATGGTGCCACAGGTAGAGGTTTCACGCAACCGGTATGTATAACTAGGAAAATACTAATCGTTAGATTTGATGCCACGAGCATATATTTATTGTTAACTATTAACGTAGTCTTTGTTTTATCAACTGTTTATGCAGTTTGAGATCGACCATTTCAACAAGGAATATTTGGTATCTGTTGAGGGTTACTATGACAACGACAAACATGGGGTCATTCAAGGGCTTCAATTCAGAACTAACAACAAGACTTCAGAATTGATGGGATACGACAATGGTAAGAAGTTTACACTAGCAGCTAGTGGAAAGAAGATAATTGGGTTTCATGGATTTGCTGAGAAGAATCTAAACGCTCTGGGAGCATATTTCACAACTTTTCCTTTTACTAAATTAGAACTCAAAGGTGGTACTACTCTAGGAAAAATTTGGGATGATGGTGCTTTTGAGGGCGTAAGAAAGGTGTCCGTTCATTCTAAAAACTCTTATGTAAATTGCGTCACATTCCATTATGAAAACAATGGCAAAGTGGAAAAGCGTGAGCATGGGTCGATGGCTGGAAAAGAAGAAGAGGTCATAATTTCCTACACCTCAAAATATTCACCGAAGTTTATATATAATTTGCATTTTTTGTCGAGTATGTTATTGAAAGCCTTTCCTAATTGCAGTTTGCGGTCGACTTTCCAAATGAATTTATCACATCCGTGGAAGGGACTCTGGAAACCGATGGTTATACGTGGATTGCGTCCTTGACTTTCAAAACATCTAGAGGGAGAACTTCTCCACCATTTGGAAGTATGACTAAAACTAAATTCGTACTTGAGAAGAAAGGTTGCGCTGTGGTTGGGTTCCATGGACGGTCTACTGGTTGTATTTTGGCTCTTGGAGCATATTTTTATCCGCTGCCTCCTCCGGTTGGTGTGGAGAAACTAGAAGCAAAAGGTAGTGATAGAGGAGACTCTTGGGACGATGGAAGTTTTGATAGTATTAGAAACATATACATGGGACACAACGAGATGGGTGTTGCATTTGTCAAGTTTCTGTACGACAAAGACAGCCAGACAGTGATCGGAGATGATCATGGGAACAAGACATTACTTGGAGTTGATGAGGTGATTACTTCAGTTTTCTTATACACCTATGCTCTTAATAAACATATTTATTGGTGGTTTTCTTGGTTTTGCAGTTTGAGTTGGAGTATCCGAAAGAATACCTGATATCAGTTGAGGGTAGTTGTGATGTTTTAGACGGAAGTGAATATGAAGTTATACGCATGCTTAGTTTCAAGACCAATATGCGAACCTCTAAAATTTTTGGACTCGAGACAACCTCAAGCTTCATACTCCAGAAGGAATGTCATAAGATCGTTGGGTTCCATGGAAAAGTAAGTAACATGCTTCATCAAATTGGTGTCCATGTCCTACCTATTACTGACTGATCTTTTTTCATATATTTTCATATATATATATATATATATATATATGTGTGTGTGTCTGAACTTGAGGCAAAACATTCTGGACCAAGTATGATCATATTTTTTAATTATCTCCTATCTTGTATACTCTGTCGCGTATTATTTCGTATGTTTTATTGGCGTGTCTTTCCCAGCCTCATGTAAGTTAATATGAGTATATGACCGTTAAAAATTTCTTTAAGTTCTTTTAAATTTCCCAGCCTCATGTAAGTTAATATGAGTATATGACCGTTAAAAATTTCTTTAAGTTCTTTTAAATTTCCCAGCCTCAAGTGTTATCCCTACCAAGCTGCATGCACATCAGATTATCTCCAATGCCATATCTTTTTTTTTAGGGAATCAGATTTGAGTATGGTGGGTAAACCAAATAACTCTTCTGCATGCACATCAGATTATGTCCAATGTCATATCTACGGGTTAACATGATGTCCAGAAAACCTAGCCAAAACAAAGGAAGTAAAGCCCCAAACATAGCTATTCAATGTATTGAATTTAATCCTATATTCTCATAGTTGATAACTAGATTTTTGTTTTCTCTTCAGTTTCAAACAGTTTCCATTTTCAGTGCTTTTTTCGGATTATCGACTAACAATAACCTAACTTAACAAGATTCAGGAACAGAAGGATCATAGCTCCGGAACAAACAGAAGAATGTTGCTTCATTCTAACAAGCCAGTGCGGCTACGGTTAATATACTAGTCTGGTCTTGAAGAAACTTAAACCCGAAACAAACGGGTAAAACAAAGAGCTTGAATTAACCATGAGTTCATCCTCCACGCATATGGGCACCGAGTTCACCAAACTGATCATCGGCTTCTACAGTGTCATCTGAGAGACGGACTGCATCAAGCTTCTGCTTCAGGATATCTATCGCATTTAGCACCAGCTGGGAAGCCTTCACTGCACCTGTGGATTCAACAGTGAATATAAAACTATCATCTTTCGGATGGATCTCAATGAGCCCCGGTTTCCCCATTGCTTCAGCTTTCTTGATCACTTCTTCATCATAAGTGTATGCTTCAGGATCAACCACCACAACCTAAAGAAACAAAGTATCATAATTACAATTTGTACCTTACAATTTTGATGATTCAAACAATAGACTGCAACAGAAATGGCATACCAAATTCCAACAATAAATTACTGTAACTGTTATAATCATAAACAATGTTCTCTCGCAGTTTCAGTTGTGTTGTGGCGAGTCATAGTGGACACTGAACCACTAACATGAAATAAAAAATATCCTCCCCTTTCTCTATCCCCTTACCCATCCATTCGAATGGTGATTCATATAATTTGCAGTGATTAGACATAGAAAGATGTTTCAGTTTGGTACCAAAAGTCTAGCAGTTATTTGATTCATTCGAATGACTGAAGTAGTTCTCCAAAAGAGCTAAGTAGTGCTATCTAACAGAAAGAGAAGGAAAGAAATGAGCTAAACGCACTAACCACCTAAAGAAAACTCATACACCCATATCATATATAAACTAGTACAATCATATCGAAGTCTGAAAGTTATAAACTAACCTGTCTGGTGACTGGGTCAATGCCAAACACTTTGGTAGGACTGCTCTCAATCAAGTCGATTTTTTCCTCGTCTGACAAAGTGTCCATCATATCTTCATTGATAATAATGTCAGGCTCATACATAAACGTAACAGTAGCTGCAGGAGACCATTTTGCATGATCTTTCCCAATCCCTTTCCTCGCTATCGCCCTAAGCTTCAACTCTTGTCCCCGACGCAGTTTCACAATGATAATTCCCCTGAAACCAAAACAAAAACAGTCATTAACAAAGACTAAGCAAGCAAAACCCACACAACTACCAAACCAAAAGATCAAACAACCAAGAGCAAGAAGAGTCCTGCAAAGGGCCATCAAAACCGGCTTAGAAATGACAACTTTTGTTTAGCATTGTCTAATCTCTGAAGTTTAGCAGATTCATAAAGACAAAAGAATCAACTTCACAATCTTTAATCAACAGATAAACTAGAACCAATGATGAAAAGTAACATACTTTTGCTCGCTTGAATCAGAAGCAGACGAGTCAATAGTGAAATCAACCGGAGTAACAGTAGGATCAGCACTGTACAAATCCCTACTAGTAACATCTAGGGTTTGGTCAGTAACACACTTAGCACTAAGCCGAAACTCAACAGAGCAAAACTCGCACTGTCCATCTCCATCACAAGCATCACAATCTCGAGAGAACCGCATGCTCATAGCACGCTCGCTAGTGAGAGGAATGAGACCTAATCGATGAGCAATGAACTCGTCGTTGAGAACAGAGGAATTAACTTCGATTTCGACGAGATCTATTGCGACTGTTGGGACTTCGGAGATCATAACGCGACGGAGAGCGTTGGCCATGGATACGTCGGTTTCACGAAGCTCGAACTTTGCGTAGTCATCTTTAAGCTCACGGATCGTGATCTTTGGGAATCTTTGGTAAGTGGCACCGTCCATTGCAGAAGCTGCTCGGTGGTTTCTGACGAGTGTTGAGCTTTATTAGGGTTTTAGGGATAATGACTTTTCAATTTCTTCGCCGGAGAAGAAGATAAAAATTAGGAGAAAGTGTCTATATGGGCCTTTTTATTATTTTATGGGCTTTTTCAGGCCTCTCTTAACAATTTTTGGGAATGGTTCAAAATGTCTGTCTACATTCTACAATGGATTTTCATGATTATATGAACCAACACCAATTCAGATATGATGTTGTGACAAAGAGTTTTATCGGGTGAGAGCGAGGTTAGTGTCTAAACATTTAAGCTTATATACTTAGGTTAAAATGTTTACTTATCCGATCGGAATCACAGAACCGAACCGAACAAAAATACTAAACATCAATTGAAACCCTTCTGATCTAATTGTGTCTAATAACATAACCTTAACTGAAACCCATAATTATCGGTTGATCGGGCCGAAAAATCTTCTGATTTTAATCGCAGGACTACTCTGTGTGGTTGGAAGAAGAATCAAAACTTCAAAGTGACCTCTTTGATAAGATTGGTCCTTAGATTTTGGTGGCCTCAAGCATTACTTAAATAATGTGATTTTTTTATATAAAAACTAATATTAGAACAATTATCATTAAAATACTAATATATATATATATATATATATATATATATATATAAGATTAGAAAAAGTCATTGAATTTCTGAAATTCTGTTTTGTTTGAAGAAGCTAAGAATATCAAAATATTTGGAAATTTTGTTGATTAAAAGAAAAAGAACTAAACTAAAAAGTATATTTTTTTTATCAACAGAAACAGAAAAAAATGTAAAATGAAAGACTGGACATGCTCATGTGACTCAATAATAAAGTAAATAACCAACTCACCAAAACCAAACATGTTGAACATGTGGCCCCAAAAATTTTGGTTATTATATTTGGAGGCCTAAAGCATATGCTTTGGCTGTTTTATGGGCAGGCCGGGCCTGCTCTTTGATCACCCAAAAATTTACAAAATCTAGATTTATAAAAGTTATTAAAAGGTGATAAAGAGATCATAAATAATTTAATAACACTTACAAAACATTTTCAGTATGCTCAAATGGGGAAGGAAATGAGGAGACAAGAAACAAATATTGTAATGGCATCAACGATGCCGTTGACGGCCATAACGGAGACGGTGAGAATTTGAAAGAATTAATAATTCGTGTTTGTTTTATCAACTATAAAATAGTTTGAGTTTTTTTTCCGATAACAAAAAAAAGTTTAGTTTTATTTCTGACAAATATTAAATAGTTTGGGTTTTTTTTTTTTTGGAATTTGCTAGTTAACATAAACGGATCAGAGGGATCATATAAATTATAAAGGCCAAAAAGTGTCACAACCAGTTGAGCAAATGGACATTGGAGCATCACATGATTATTTGTTTTCTTTTGTGCAGCACATCTCGGCACATGCATCATGGTAAGTCTCTTCTTTGCAGTTTGCTAATGCTCTCCACAAGAAATTTTGAATCTTAAATAATATCTTAACTTACCCATATTACTCAAGTCCCATACTGCTTCAATTTTAGTACTTGTTACCTCACCACATCTTTCCATCACTTAGGCTCTGTCCTTTTTCCAAACGCTGCGACCAAAAGAACAGTTGCTTAACACACGATTACGTGGAGTCTGTAGAGAGTTGTGTGGAGAGGAGTCGCTTGATGCTAATAACAGCGACGTATAAGGCATATACAGGTGTCGCTAAAAATAACAGCGACTCAACATCTTCACTATTGACGTTGCCGGCGACTAATTTTTTATCTCTGTTATATTTTTGCCCTCGTCGGAGTCGCTGTCGCTGTCATTAACAAACGAACAGGCCCTTCATGGTAACCTATTCAAACACATTCCCTTTTTCGTGCTTTTTCCCGTTACGACTAACACTAACCCAAATTATAACAAGATCTTCACATGTTGTTACCAAATAAGACAGTGCCCCTACAATTATAATAAGATCTTCACATGTTGTTATCGAATAAGACAGTGCCCCTACAATTAATATATTACTCTGATCTTCACATGTTGTTATCGAATTAGCCACGAGTTCATCCTCCACGCATATGGGCACTGAGTTCACCAAACTGATCATCAGCTTCTACAGTGTCATCTGAGAGACAGATTGCATCAAGCTTCTGCTTCAGGATGTCTATGGCATTTAGTACCAGCTGGGAAGCCTTCAGTGCACCTGTGGACTCAACAGTGAATACAAAACTATCATGTTTCGGATAGATCTCAATGAGTCCTGGTTTTCCCATGGCTTCTGCTTTCTTGATCACTTCTTCATCGTAAGTGTATGCTTCAGGATCAACCACCACAACCTAAGAAGCAAAGTATCATTATTACAATTGTGATGATTCAAACAATGCACTGCAAAAGAAACGCACAGAAATGAGCTAAACCCACTAACCTGATATGAACCTTAAATTTCAAGAATGATTTAAGCAAAAGCTTCCCTTTAACCCAACTCTCTCTTAGAGAATTAGGTTAATTGTTGGAGGTTAGTTTCTTATTGATCATAAGAGAACAACCAATCATAAACCTAAACTAAAAAGGAAAAAACACCAAAAATAATACTCAAAACTTAATAAGAGACTTTGGGCTCACGTAAAGGCCTTATGGTTCTAGTGATACCATGATCCATATCATAACCACCTAATAAAAATTCATACATCCACATCACATATATATAGTACAATCATATTGAAGTCTCAAAGCTATAAACTTGTATAGATGTTCTTCTTACAGAACATCGAAATTAACCTGTCTGGTGACTGGATCAATGCCAAAAACTTTGGTTGGACTGCTCTCAATCAAGTCTATTTTCTCCTCGTCTGTCAAAGTGTCCATCAAGTCTTCATTGATAATAATGTCAGGCTCATACATAAACGTAACAGTAGCTGCAGGAGACCATTTTGCATGATCTTTCCCAATTCCTTTCCTCGCTATCGCCTTAAGCTTCAACTCTTGTCCCCTGCGCAGTTTCACAATGGTAATTCCCCTGAAACCAAAACAAAAACAGTCAAAGAAACTTCAGAAAAAAAGCCACACAACTACCAAAGTAAAAGATCAAACAACCAAGAACAAGCTAGAAGGCTAATGCAAAGGAAGTATTTTTCATCCTCGAATTGCTAAAAGATGTCAAATTTGTTTAGCATTGTCTAATTTCCAATCGATTTATAAAGAACAAATAATGACCACATTTCCAATGATGAAAAGGACATACTTTTGCTCGCTTGAATCAGAAGCAGACGAGTCAATAGTGAAATCAACAGGAGTAACAGTAGGATCAGCACTGTAGAGATCTCTACTAGTAACATCTAGGGTTTGGTCAGTAACACACTTAGCACTAAGCGGAAACTCAACAGAGCAAAACTCGCATTGTCCTTCTCCATCACAAGCATCACAATCTTGACAGAACCGCATGCTCATAGCACGCTCGCTAGTGAGAGGGATGAGACCAAGTCGTTGAGCAATGAACTCGTCGTTGAGAACAGAGGAATTAACCTCGATGTTGACGAGATCTATTGCGATGGTGGGGACTTCGGAGATCATTACGCGACGGAGAGCGTTGGCCATTGAAACGTCGGTTTCACGAAGCTCAAACTTGGCGTAGTCATCTTTAAGCTCACGGATATTGATCTTTGGGAATCTTTGGTAAGTGGTACCGTCCATTTCAAAAGCTGCTCGGTGGTTACCACAGCGGGGCATAAACTTTTCGAAGTGTTAAAAGAAGTATTACAATCTCTAGATCTAGATATCCATAACGTGAGATGTCAATGTTATGATAATGGATCTAATATGAAAGGAAGCCAACAAGATGTACAAAAAAAAACTTTTGTATATAAATCCTAGAGCATTTTATACACCATGTGTTTGTCATAGTCTTAATTTGGTTTTATGTGATATTGGAAATAATTCTATAAAGGTAAAAGATTCTTATGGAGTTGTGCAACGCTTATATTCTTTGTTTGCTAGTTCAATAAAGAGGTGGGATATTTTGAGAAAGAATGTAAAAAATTTAACGCTTAAACAATTATCAACAACAAGATGGAAAGTTATGTTGAAGTATTAAAGCAATAAAATTTCAAATTGTGGATATAAGAGAAGCTTTACTTGAAGTGGCTGAAAGTGATAATGATCCAATGATTCAAAGTGAAGCTAAATCTCTAGCAATGAATGAGCTTCGTAGTTTTGAATTTTTGTTATCAACTATTATTTGATTTGATATATTGCATGTGGTGAATATTGTTAGTAAGAAGATACAATAAAAAAATATGCAAATTGATGTGTGGCAATGAAAGAGATATTAGTGGATTAATTTCTTATTTAAAAAATATAGAGAAAATGGATTTGTTGATGCCATGGCAAAAGCTAAGGAAATTGCTAATGTAATTCGTATTGAACCTATATTTATTCAAAAAAGAGTTATTCGTAGGAAAAGAATATTCGATGAATTTATAGGTAATAAACCATTATTATCCATAGAAGAAATGTTTAGGATTCAATTTTTATATATATTATAGATCATTCTATGATAAGAGGTTTGAGCAATATCAATCGAATGAACATATATTTGTTATTTTTGTTTGATTCTACTAGATTGAAAATGTGTGATGATGTGAATTTAAAGTCTCATTGTAGTTATTTAGAAAATAGTTTGAAAAGTGGTGATTTACTAGACATTGATGGAGATGAACTTTTTCTTGAGCTAAAATTTCTTAAGGAGCTTTTGCCAAATGAAAATATGAGAGCAAGTGATGTATTAAATTAAGTATCTTGTACAATCTTATAGTTTCCCATATACTATGATTGCGTATATAATTTTACTAACGGTTCCAATTACGGTTGCTATTGCAGAAAGGAGTTTCTCTAAACTCAAGCTATTGAAGTCATATTTAAGGACATCCATGTCGCAAGAGAGATTGATTTTTTGGAAGAATTAGATGTAGAAATTTTGATTGATGATTTTGCTTAAGATCATTAAGATAGAATGGCATTATTCATTCAGCCAATGTACTTTACTTTCCTTTATCCGATTGTTTTTATACAAAATAGCATTTTTTTTGTTACCACACCGGGTCTCACCGATGAGTAAGCCAGACCTGTCTCGATTGTAGGTGATGGGGGGATAAAAAACGTAAACAAAGACGATGAAGATTTATAGACAATTTCTTTAACCTTAAGCGCATCTATGGTTTTGTGCTGATAATGTGTTATGAACAAAGAGGATTAAAGAATTGTTCTCCTTGATATTGATATATTCCACTAGATACAAGATATATACTAGGGTTTAGGTTAGATACCAAGTAATCTAGAACCTTTTAGAATCTACTAATGGACATCGATATAACAATCATATTATTCATAACACTTTATTCTTTATGATCCAATGCGATTTTTTACCATTTTTCCTAAGTGTTTATTTCTCGTTTTTTTGTTTTAAATGTGAAATTCATTGATATGTGATAATCACTTCATATAATAACAGACTTTAAAGCTTAAAAACTGAAAAACATAGTATGATGTGAGAAAACAAAGCCGTTTACGGTTTTTCCGTTAATCACGTTTTCCAGTTATTTATCGTTTTTGATTATATATTTTTTTTGGTTTATTTCACACTTTTTTCCTTCATTGATTGAGTAAATTATGTTCGTTTTTAAGAATTTGAATCACAAATAAAGATTTTATTTACTATATGATCAAACAAAGATGAGAGGTTAATTTTTAATAAAATCTTCGAATATCTTTGAATTAATTAAAGAAATAATTTTGTTGTCAAAATTAGTGGAGAGAAAAAATTTAATATTTCCAAATAGATTCATTAAAACAAAATTGATTTGGATTCAAAATTTTCAAATTCCAAAATTATTCTTTCTAATTGCAATTAAACATTTTCTACAGATAAGTTTAATGGTGATTTAAGTAATTATGTGAATGATTACAAAATTTACTTCTCTTTTAGTAATATAAAGATGTATGACATCAAAATATTTTTGGCTATTTCATCATTATTCGCCTTATTTAAATCAGCATAGTTAAATCTTAACCTAATCGAAAGGACCACAAGTAACATATTTTATTCAAATTATAATATAAATCTAATAATAATAACAATCCCAATAAATGTTTTTTACACTTTTGAACCGTTTATTTTTTTTGGGTAAAAAGTTAAATTTTATACCAATTTTCTGATTTTATCTGTACAATGCTGAAACAGCTTATTTAAAGAGACATCAACTAGAAAGGGAAAGAAATACAGCCAAAATAGAAACCAAGAAGAGAAGAAGAGCACGAAGGAGAACCAGGGAAAGAGAGAAGGTGATCACGAATCGCACAGTCCAGCGCAGCTTGAGCCACAGAAGAAGGAGAGGAGGTGTTGGTGAAGATTCTTGCATTCTCGCCAAATGAGATAGCACGCAGCCTGGGCGATCAGCTTGATGATGACTGAGGCATGATGATGAGGATGAGACTTGCGTTGTCTTTTTGAACAGTTGTCTTTTTTATCACAATTTTTCCTTTTTTAAAAAATAACTAAAAATATATTTTACGATTGTGTTTTTAAAAGAGTTGCAATCCGAATAAATGTCTTCTACGATTGCGTCTTTTCATCGTAACTCTTCATAAAACAACTACAACCGTTTAGTTAAATCATTGTAAGATTTAGTTTATTTCACAAACAATTGCAGTTTTTGGTTTAACGATTGCAACTGTTTAGCTGAACCATTGCAACATTTAATTAATTTCACGAACAATTGAAACTTTTCGTTTCTTTTGTAAATCGTTATAAACTTTAGTTATCTACAATCGCGTCTCTTGGTGAAACATTTCATAAATTATTATTTCTCATTACTAAAAATGTATTTTAAATAATTTATAACCGTTTTATTGAACCGTTGTAATATTTAATTTATTTGACGAATCATTGCAACTTTTAGTTTTGTTTTATGAACCGTTGTAATCTTTAGTTTATTTGACGTATCGTTGCAACATTTGATATATTTAACGAACCGTTGTAACTTTTGGTATATTTGATATCCATGGTCGCGTTTCTCGGGTATAGTTTTCATAATTTTTTCTACGTTTTAAATACTTAAATATATTTTTGCTACCGTTTAATTCAACATAGTAATATTTGGTTTATTTGACGAACAAAAGAACATTTTGGCTTATTTGAGTAATTGTTGTAACCTTTAGTTTAATTGATTAACTGTTACAATATTTGTTATATTTGATTAACCGTTACAAACTTTAAAATTCACCAAAATCATCTCAAAACTCATTAAAACTCAAATCACTCTAAATTCTTTCTTCGATACACCCCCCTTAGTTGATGAATTACTACAATTTTTGGTATATTTGATGAACCGTTGTAACATTTTCACTTTATAAAAGATTTTTTGAACATTAGTTAAAGTTTTATATGTTTATTTAGAGTTGTATCTTTTCACCATGTTTTATTATTTTTTTTCATCACAAACGCTACGTCTACTCATTAAAACTTTTCACTTAATTTTTAAATTTTTTGTAATCGCATCTTTTCACCATGATATTTCTAATAATAATATAAATCTTAATAAATGTTTATGAGAGATTGAGAGTTATATCTCTTTATTATATTTTTCGTAAAGTTTATCTTGATTTATTGTTAATTTTTTTTTTTTTGAAAAGTAGTCTCAATTTATTGTGATTTTTCGTTTGATAATTTTCTTTTTAAAGATTTTTGAAATATTTTTTGCCGTGACATCGCGGATGGTCTAAGTCCTAATTATTTTAAAAAATAGAATTTTAATCAACATTTTTAAGCATGACTCTTTGAACTAGTAATACCGGATCGCGGGTTTTACCATTACCGGATTTACTAGAGATTTTCAAATTTTATCAGATTTAAAATTAGAGGATTGTAGCATTGGAGCCAAACATGATTAGTGACAGGGTCAAGAGTTTTACCGGTCCAACTGCGGTCGGGATCGGATCTAAAAACATTTCCGTTTATTAAACTCCGGTGTATCGGAGTATATCGGCGATAAGCAGAGACTCGCTTTTGGAGATGTAACAGAATCCAAAGACTTTTATTTAACAGAATCAAATCATTATTAGTTACAATCTCAAGTCTAATTACTGTATACTTTAGCTTATATATACAACACAAATTATACCAGTAAACCAATATTCAGATAACGGGAGATAACCAGTCAAACCATGATCGTAATACCCTTGTTAAAAGAAAACTCAGAAGAGGATTGGTCGATGAGAAAAGCGTTTAACAAAAAAAAAAAGAAAAAAAAAAAACGAAGAAGATGAAGAAACGTCGTTTAGATTTGTAATAAGACCTTCATGTTTTGTTAAGGACAAAAAGGACATACGGGGACCTTTAAAGTGATGACGTGGCAACTCCCGGAGACTTTCATATAGGAGATTTAGCAGCCTATTAAAGTTTTTTATGCACGTGAATATCAAGTTTGACATCTAAAGTCGTATGAATTGCGCGTGTTATGTCGTAGTTAGTCGTTCACGTTAGCAATAATCTACGTTTACCGTTTGTGACTTTTAAACTACGTTCATGAACCTATTACATATAAATCAAAATCTGGACCATAATTCTATTGGTGTATTGTTAGAAACTTAAAGTTCATATCCGATCCCTTTCTGGATGTTTCGTGGCCTACTTGCAATATTTTTGGAATCTTTTGACCATTTGTTTATCGAGTTTAGGACTTTAATCACTAAGGGAAATCATTTAAACAATTTGGTCACTTATTGACATGATTGTATGTTTTGATTGGGCATGTAAACAGATCTCAATATATATGTAACTACAAATTGTTATATATTTCAATACATTAATTTCAACGTGCCTGACAAATCCCAGTTGTTTGGATTCCAAAATTTCATTTTTTTATAACGCTAGCTTGTTAATAATTCACAAAAGCTCTCTCATAGGAAGTTTCATCGTCAATTCTTAATATATATATTATACAAAATCACAATTTGGAGTTAAAGACTTTTCTTCCATTAAACTAAAGTAGAGTCACGTTTGG